AAAGCAATTTCAAGCTATTTTAAAGATATTACAAATGAATTGCTTGTGTTTTAATCCATCAATCATGGGACCATCGATTAAGGTCTGGAATATAGCCACTAAAAGGAATAATCCATCGGTTTCGGTAATCATCTAGGCCAACTGTATGAGATGCAAGCTGTAGTTTATTGTGTGCCGAGTCTGATAAATCATTTTCAAGACAGGGTTACATGAATTACTTTTGCCAAAGCAATCTTTTTAAAAATGCCTTCATAGTATTTAAAAAATCATCTTTTATATTTGTAATTAATGTTACTCATTAGATAAGGTTATAGGACTGTTATGGTTCCAAACTTATGAGAATATTGTTAAGCGCTCAAGTCAGGCAGATATTGGAATGTAAACTAAATACAGTTCTATCGGATATGATGCCTGCTACTGGAAAACAACCAAACACAAGAAAAAAAAGCTAAATAATTGTATTATCCTGTGGGTCATGCCTTCATTTTATTTGCCAACATGATGGTCATTGTTATTTGCAGCTACTGAAGAGATGTACATTATGTCAGCCCACACCAGAATCCAAAATCATAGTATACAGATATGTCAGGACACACAGAAAATAAAAACAGAACATGGGGAATTCCAAGGAGCCATAGCTGAAAATCAAGAATAAGATAAGATAGGAATATATTGAATTTAAAACAATTAACCATCAATAAAGGATATGGCATTCAACAAATAGAGAATAATAGTTCCACATGAATAATGGTGAAATAAGGCAGGGATACATGGAATTAAAATCAATAATACTGACAATTTTTTAGCTGATCAGGAGTTTTTCCCCAAGAATATCAGTTGGAGCATGTTGGGAGATTTTATCTTCCACATGAATTCTGAGATGAATACGTCACACAGTATATTTCCTGTTATAAAACTGGATCCTAGTGGACTTTGCTTACTTCTCTTTGCTTTTTGTTGCATTGTGTTCTCATTACTTCCCTCTTTCCTTACTACAATGGTAGAAACAGATCTTCTGAAAGATGTCCTACCTCTGATGGTAGAAGCCTTCAGAGGAAGTTCATACCACATTTTCAAGGACACATCTAGAGTGTTGGCACCAAAAGCTGAAGCCAAGCAAAACCCAGCTAGCTGGAGATCAAAGTTACGGTTCATCCGGGACACCAATAGTGCGGTTCATCCGGGACACCTTTCAGATAAACTGCACAATCTTCTAATTATTATATTGGGGGATATGGGAAATAGGGAACTAGGTGTATCTTGCCTACCCTCCTACTAAAAATATCTGTATGGAAAAGACAATAGATAGCTTCCTCTTAAAAGTCCAAAGTGAGCAAGAGACCACCAGGACACCTCGTGTGTGTGTACACAGCAGAGCTTAACTCAATATAAGCTAAGCAAATTGAGTTGTGTCAATTGTGTAGCTTATTTTGAAATTGGAAGTGTCAATACAGCACTTATTTCAAAATAGAGCACTCTTCCACTGACTTCCCTTACTCCTCATACAATGAGGGTTACAGGAGTTAGAGTAAGAAGTCCTCCAGCTTGACAGTATTTTGACATTATTTCGAAATAACTGCCTACTGTGTAGACACAGACTAAAGGTATGTCTACACTACAAAGTTAATTCGAACCAACAGACGTTAGTTCGAATTAACTTTAATAGGCGCTACACATACAAACCGCTAGATCGAACTTAATTCGAACTAGCGGTGCGCTTAATTCAAACTAGGTAAGCCTCATTCTACGAGGACTAACGCCTAGTTCGAATTAAGTAGTTCGAATTAAGGGCTGTGTAGCCACTTAATTCGAACTAGTGGGAGGCTAACCCTCCCCAGGTTTCCCTGGTGGCCACTTTGGCCAACACCAGGGCAACTCTTCTGCCCCCCTCCCGGCCTCGGATCTC